GCGTCTACAGTCAGCACAGTATTGTTCTGCGCCATATAGAGCACATAAGTCATCCTCTCCCCCTCCGTCACGTTTATCGTCAGCGCAACAAGAAAAAAAAAGCCGGAACTGCGTCGAGTGCTGCCTTCAGTCTCGTATCGCATTTGTACGTGGCAGCCGCTTTTATAGCGAAAGCGGTACATGGCTAAGAGAAACGAAAAATGTTCGGCATCGGTGTCATGAGCCGTCTCCATTGGCTGCTTTATCAGTTTCGTCGTTTCATGCGTCGTATCCAAGCAAGCGCCATTTACTGCGCTAGGAGTGACGTCGTCCATCCCGTCACAACCAGTATGCAGCCGGAGCGCCAACCACGCACGCATCAATTTTCTTGAAACTATTCACATGGGAATGCCACGGACGACTACAGAAGCGTGCCGACAGTAGAATGTGGGAGGGCTCGCATTCGCCAAGCCGATGCTGTAATCCGGGCGCAAAAACAGGCCCGGGATGACGAGTTCCAGCAGCAATTGCCTACCGATGATCCGGCTGCTTTCCAAGGCGCTAAATCACGAAGGAAAATGCAAGATGGCAGGCGGATCCTGCAACCCACAATGTCGAGTCAACTAGCGATGTCAAACGCTTTCAACAGCTTTGCGGGCACGACAGCGTCGACGTGACGATTGCGGAAGCGTGGTCACCGGGATGAACGCTCGCTTTCGGTGTGAGTTTCTCCACCGGCACTTCGAGTGCGGCTGCGACATCTGCGATCGCCTATATCTCAAAAACAACCACTGTGAATAACGCATTGCGCAACGCATTTCATCGCTCATTACGCTCCACCACGACCGTGATCATGTGAGGCACAATGTGCGTCGTGTGGAAACCCAAGCCAAACATCTGTCTAACCTCATCAAGAAGCACGAACATCTAACCGAAATTTTGTGAAAGGCTGCAGTGCAGCGTCAGTTCAAACCCGGTGCTAAATACCACGGCCACATTTTTCAGTTGGGTTCGGATCCCGGCTGCGGCGGCTACATTTCCGATGGAGGCGGAAATGTTGTAGGCCCGTGTGCTCAGATTTGGGTGCACGTTAAAGAACCCCAGGTGGTCGAAATTTCCGGAGCCCTCCACTACGGCGTCTCTCATAATCATATGGTGGTTTTGGGACGTTAAACCCCACATATCAACACTTCTCAGTTTTTTTCTGGTTAACCATTTGTGTGGAGTTTTTGGGCAGGGATTTCTTTTGTTCTGCTGTTGTTGATAATGTTCTGATTTTACACTCAACGGTACCATTCTACCATCACCTAACATCTCTCGTAGTCACTGATAGCATGTTCGAGCAACCGTCGTGCATAAAAAGTCTTTGATAATGCCTTGAACTTACATTTGAAAGGACTAAAACCGGCAATCACGTGGTATTTCTTTGGTTTAACGCACTTTAAACAACGGCTGGGCGGAAATTAAGCAGCGCAGTAACATTACCGCATACTAAAATTTAATGCTTTCTAGATAAGCAGTACAATTTTCGTATTGAGAATCTTTTTCCAGAATCATTATTTCACCAGTTCATTATGCAATTTTAATTATTTGCCGAGCTTGGCGCATCAGAAAAAAATATTCTGACGGGCTCTATATGGCTCACTGCAATAATTGCAGACGCGTAGCGCTCGCATAATTTTTTTTGTTTATTTTACGCTTAGAAACCCTGTACTACATTACTGACCGAAGCGTAGAGATTAAGCGAAGCATGCTCGTCTTGAAGTCCCTATCATTACAAAGCGCTCAGATATATCTAATCACTATCAGCAGCAGAACCGTCCACAAGGTGAACAGCTACGGATGTGTAGTGGGCCCTCCGATGATTCGGTAAAGAGCGGTGGGCACTTTGCTTGTAGTGTACAGTCAAGGATACTTTGAAACGGCCAATGTTGCGCTCGTTTTCTTGCGGCACGATTGAAGCATGCACCTAGAACCGAAGCAGGTTAACCCTTAAGGAAGAAATGCGCACGAGGCCGCATTACGCTATCGCGGTGTTCTCTTGAAGGCCAAACTCAAGCGTCCCTGAATTTTCTTTTTTAAATGAGCGCCTACCAAACGAGATCACTATACCTCTGCATATGTACCTCACCCTATTCATTTTATTATGAAAAAGTGTTGGTGAAACTGTCTGTATTTAATATTATATTAGCAAAGGAAACGCAAACAACCTCTACTGAGGGCAAGATGCCCTTATATTTGACCTGCATTTGTGACATACTTTCCCTCGCATGACACTATATTGCTCTGTAAACGAATTTTGTAGACCAATGTCTGAAGAAGCAAATTAAGCCGTCATGCAAATCGTACCAGAAAGTGGCATCTTAATTGTATAACCACATGCTGTGTACTTTGGGATTTTAGCATGGTGGCATCACCGGCGGATATTATGCGTTGTCCCTTTCTCAAGCAGTGGTCGAGACAAGGGTCGAGCAGAGGACCACACAGATCACCGTCAATCATGCTGATGGCCAACCAACACGGAATCGTCCGCAGTTGCCTTCTCGCAAAATAAGTTTTTCTATCCACCTATGCGATGTGAAGCAAGTAACGACGCTATTACGTATCGCCCCCCCCTTCCTTTGATTTCTCGGCTACCGAAGGAAGTTTGTGGACACTGAACCAAACGACCAATAAAAGACAGCGACACTAGAGCATAGCTTCAGCTGTAGATTCACTGTTTGGATGTATTGGCGGTGTTTTTCATACATATGGAGCTTTCCTTCGTTGACGCCCTCTGCACACGGCCAATGCTGTCGCAGTTTCAGTGTGAGAACCTGATCTCTGATAGAGCGCATCTGAAGCCTGCCTTAATGAATGTCGAGATACCCAACAGGGACCGGTTCTGGTGCTACAAAGTTCTGGCACATCTTCACGCCTGCATTCCTTCCTCGGGGATGTCCGGATGAAAAACCAGTCAAGAACCTTGCATCACAAACGTCCTTGCTTTTTCGCTGGTCTACTCTGCAGCGCGGTTTCACAAAAAGGAAGGACGAGAAAGCGGGCGACGCGCACTGCTGTTTCCTTTGTCAAGTTGTGCCATTCAAAGTCGTGCGTCCTGACGCGACATCATCTCGCTTTTTCCTTCACCCGGTTTCCGGGCCGCCTACTTCCGCGAAGCGCTTCCTGACCTCGGTGCCACATTTTGCTGTATCCTTGTACGACGCTGTCCACAAACACGCTCATTCGTCTACAAGTGTTTGGGCAAGTTGGTTTTGCACGACGCCACTTCCTTGACACCGGCGCAACTCAGAATCAGTGGCGAAAATGAAGCAGAGGAGACGGGCCGAGGTGCTCCTGCCTCATACTTGACTATTTTTAATGGTTCTCACAACGGCCTCAGGAGATAGCTCTTCGTCTTCAACAACCCCTTCACAACGTCACGAAGTTTGGCAAGCTCCTCCGATACACCACAAGGTGGATTATTGCTTAACAAGCTAACGAGTTTCCCGTGATTCTTCACAAAACGTTCGCTCGCTATAGGTGTACGGTATTTACAACGCAGGGCATGGTCCAGCTAGCTGCCTGTGCACCTAAGAGAGGGAAGGACTACTAATGCCGTATTTCACATTTCTTCGGGATTCTTTGGATGCTTAGTAGCGTGGAAGATAATTGATATTAGGTATATCTCTTTTTTCTTTTTCATTGTACTCGTAGCGAAAAAAGTGCACCGCGTTTCTGTGCGAATACTAGTTTCTTCTAAGCATGGAATAAGACATATGGCTAACAATTTTAATTCGTTCCAAAGTTTGATAATTAAAATAGTAGTCAAGCGATCTTAGTTCTTCGCTCCCTGTGTTACGAAATACTCCCGCATGCCGAATTTACTTACCACTGCGCTCCAAATTGATTTCATTGCCCACAAAATGTGGACGTATGCCGGCATTTGTTCGAACTGATATTCAGTGTTTTGCGGTGTTGGTTGATATATTTCATATTTAAGAAAACTGAATTCTGTTGGGAAGCAGTAAGTGCTCCTTCATATTGATTCACAAAGCACCAATGAACTCACACGATTTACTAAAGATAAATAATTAAGAAAAAGTAAATAAACATCTCAATAACTTATTTTTTAGTAAGTAAATGCACAAGGCTCGAAACATCCCTATAGTAATAAATTCACATAGCAAAGCAGTAGAGCTCAGAAAGTGTAAGGTGTAATGAAATACCAACCTATTCAGACCATGGGCTACCTGCCCCTTCAGTGCAGTTGTTATGGTGTGTTGAAATGAAAATAAAGAAAATAAAAGGCGCTTGCTTGTACTCATCGTAACAACTTAATTCTCAGCACCGCCTTTGACGTGCTTACTTCATGATTAGGCTGTGGTGTTAGCACGTAAAAACTCCAGAATTAAAATCAGTTCTGTAAGTGGTACAGGGCCATGAGTTTCAATGCAAGCTGTGTCATTGCTGTAGTTTTGTAGTTTATGTTTGTTTTAGCGGGTGGTGTTTGTAGTGTTTTTTTTTCAGCTCATAGCATATTTTAAGGAAGTCAATTGGTGTACGACACGAAGTTATTTCTGACGTCGTAGTTGGGGTTCCCCTTCTTATCTTCAAACGCTTTTTCTTCGCTCACCCATAAATAAATTGATTAAAAAGTCAGAAACGCAACAGCATCAGCCTAGAATAAAAAATTACTTCCCTCTAGATGATGACTTTCACCATCTCACCAACTTGGTTGCGTACAAATTCGTCACATATTTCAAGCAGCTTTTGTAAACATTCCGAAGAAAAGATTCCGTTCATTGAGCGAATTCATCAGCGCCAGATGTGCACGCGTCCTTCAGCCTGAGCTTCGAGTGAGACGCAGCTCTTCCCGAAGCATTCAACTCGAACGCCCAGATATCCAGCGGCACGAGGACGCCGGAGGGACGAGCTGCTCCATGTCGACAACACTGGAAGGAAGTTCCGCACAATCCTTCCACCTGTTAACGGGATCAAGCCGAGCGGGCGGGGAGTTTAGGTTCCCGGATGCAACTCACCAGCGTGTTGGGGCGCCGCTGCGCATGCCAGGAGCAGCACAAGAAGCTGGGCAGTCGTAATCCAGGCCATGGTATCCCACACTCACACACCACACACACACTCACGCACGCTGCTGTCCCGATGGTTGCAGCGGCGGCTGGTCGTCGAGCAGGCAGCGGCGTCGACGGAGGAGGCCCGCTTGCAAGTGAAACCGGTGCTGGTCCCTCGAAAGCGAAACGTCGCCGTGGAAAGGGTGACCGCCGCCGCAAATCAGAGCACGCGCAGAAGGAGGCAACTGGGCTGCGCTTTCTTCCCGCTCGCCAGACGTGTGTCAACACTGCTAACGGGGCCGCGGCCTTGCACCACCACTGCAGCAGCAGACTTTTTGTGGCCGTCATGAAAACATTTGCAACCTCGTCGATTGCTCGGCAAAACTGAGGGACAAATTGCAATCGTCCAATGACTGGTGCTTGCAAGGTTGTCCTTGCCACAGCAGTTGGATGTTTAAATAGAAGGTTTTCTAAAGTCACGAGACAGGTGCAACACGTGGTCCATAAGCGCAGCTTTCACTGATGTGCATGATGTCGTCGTCAGTCTAATCGTTACAGGTTGAGTTTCAGAGCCGACAATTTTGTCATCTTCGGGATGCTGTGGACCAGTGGGCTCATCAAACTGCCGAAGGACAGAGCTTCTCCATCTGCTTGTGAATCACGATAAACAAATTGATTGACCGATTATCAATGCCTCAAAATGCAACCAATTGTTTTACGGGGTGTTTTATGAGTATCACGCAATTGTAACAGGTGGTTACATTCAATGAATAATAACACGACCAACATGTCTTTTAAGATAGCATCTATGTCTTTTATAGTCTGCTATGTAGTCCATACTTGATGTTCATGCCTCATTCCAGTAGTTACTTTTTTACGGTCGAAGATCCTCAGAAGCGTCTCCCTTATTATACAATAGACGGCGCTGTCCCATGGAGATGCATGGGAGATGTCCCATAGAGATCCCATGGAGATGCTGTCCCATGGAGATGCTGTCCCATGGAGATGCACTGTCCCATGAGACGAGCTTAGAGCAGACGTTTACAACTACAGCTCAAGGTGCTAGGCTAGAAGGGGACGAAGCTATTGAATATATAGGAACAATGGTGACAGAAATTTCAGCAAAGAAGTTACTTATGCACCACAATAGACAAGGATGAATAAAGTGACGCAGTGGCTGCATTTTCACAACGAGAGTGGGAAAGGGCTGAGAAGAAGGTTTCTAGTTGTACATCAACAGGCCCAGATGGCATGCCAAATATGCTGATAAAGGCATTGGGTCTGAAGTGTAAGCAGACTTTGAAAAAGGCAGTGAGCAAAATAATAATCGATGGTGAAGTCCCCGATGGATGTACACTTAGCAGGGTGAGCATGATCTATAAAGGAAAAGGGGACAAAGCTGACATAAACAACTACCGTCATATAACAGTGACATCAGTTGTCTACAGGCTTGTGATGCAGATTATAAAGGAAAGACTGCAGGCACGGATAGAGGATGAGTGCGTGCTGGGGAAACTGCAGAATTCAAACCTCCTGTGGAAACAAAGGAGGTTGGAAGACAATCTGTTCTCACTGACGCCGTGCATTGAAATAGCAGAAAAGTAACACAGGCCCCTGTGGCCATCATTTTCGGATATCAAGGGAGCGTATGATAGCGTGGTTTTAGAGGACTTATGAGGAATACTGGACACACTAGGTGTGAAAGATGGAGTCTCTAATCTTTAGAAAGATATCTATAAAGGTAACAAGGTGGAAAAGTATAAAGTGGAAAAAAGAGGTATTCAAGCCCACAGAGGTAAAACGGGGGCTTAGGCAGGAGTGTCCCCTGTCACCCTTATGATTCATGATGTACCTACAAGGAATAGAGGCCAAACTAGAGGGAAGTGAACTTGGTTTCAACCCCTCTTTCGTCAAACAAGAAAAACGCATTGAACAGGCACTACCAGCATTGATGTACGCAGATGATATAGTGCTAATGGCCGAGAACCATGAAGATTTGCAGAAATTGATGGACATCTGCGGTAATAAGGGAGACAGGTTATATTTCAGCTTCAGTAAGGAAAAATCAGCAGTCATGATTTTTAATTATAATTAAGGTAGTGAGCTTAAAATACAGGAGGTAATGCTAAAGATAACAGATAAATACAAATATCTGGGCGTATGGATAAGCAATGGACCGAGTACCTAAGGAAACACGATATATACGTGACGACTAAAGGTAACAAAAATGCAGCAGTGATAAAAAATACGGCACTGTGAAATTACAATAGGTATGATGTTGTGAGAGGAATATGAAAAGGGGTCATGGCTTGCTGGTCTTGCGCACGAGATCAGAAGTTCAAGCATGTTTAGAACTTAAGCAACGTGAAATAGGTAGACTTGCCTTAGGAGCTCGAGGGAAGACACCATATTAGGGAGTACAAGGTGATATGAGATGGACGTCATTTGAGGGCAGGGAAGCTAGCAGCAAGATAAAACTTGAAAAGCGATTGAGAGAAATGTGGTGGGAGCGTTGGGCTATGAAGGTTTTCAGCTACTTGTACATGAAGAATGTCGTTACAAAATGGAGAAAGCGAACCAGAAAATTGACGGGTAAATACTTATAAAACAGCAGGGGCCCAAACCAAAAGAATTCTCGGTTAAGAAGAAGGTGAAGGAAGCTGAGAATAATATGTGGAGAACTGGCATGATTAAAAAGTCTGCACTAGAGATCTATCAAACATTTAGGCAGGAAATTGCCAAGGAAAGGATCAACGATAATACTCGGGGTAGTTCGCTACTGTTTGAGGTGAGGGCGAGAGTATTCCGAACCAAGACATATCGGACCAAATACGAAGGGGTAGACACGGTATGCAGTGCGTGTGGAGAGGAGGCGGAAACTGCCGAACACTTGATAATGTTTTGTAAAGGGCTTCACCCTATTGTTCAGTATGATGGCACAAAGTTTTTCAAAGCACTGGGGTTTAGGGACAGGGAGTGCAAAATAGACTCTAAGCAGGTAGAATGAACTAAAAGGAGGTTATCTGATTGGTGGCTAAAGTCAAGGCACGAGTGAAAATTAAACCCTTCACTACAAAGTACCAGTCCTCAACCTCACTATTTAAAGGGAGAAACAAGATAATTCTAGTTTTTGCTTCTCTAAGTAATACTGCTTGGTGGCGTTAGCCACCACCCGATCTAAAGGGTACAGCCGTATCAATCTATCCGTCCATCCAGCAGCCAAGCTGCAGTTGGTGACGACATACTAGATGCTGCTGTATACATTCTGTGTCGGGAGGTGGGGAGAGATAGAAGAACAGCTAAGGAAGGAGAAGCTGATGGTGTATGTGTTTATAGAAGCACATCTTAGAGAATTGTAACAACCACCTAGCAATCCGGACTACGCATGTGAATATTGTAATAGAACAGAAGGCAGCAAAAAGGGGGGTGGGGTGGTATTGGGGCATTTATTCATAAAAGTACAGACTCACAATAGGTCAAGGAGGACTGCAGGGAACACTTATGGCTAAAAGGAAAAGTGAGAGGGCAAATGACGCTCTTGGGTTTTGTATACATGTGTACGGGCTGACAAGAGGTCAAGGGGGACTGCAGGGAACACTCATGGCTAAAAGGAAAAATGACAGGGCAAATAACGCTCTCGCGTTTTCTATACATGTGGACGGGGGCAAAAGCAAGAAAGGAAAACCAATAAATGGTTCAGTGCATAAAAATGACACTGAACAATTAGAAGAGTGCGATGTAAATGTATTAGGAGATATGAATGCAAACAGGAGAGATATGAATGGATTTACTGACCCAACAAGCAGAATGCTAATGAATATGTGTGAAAGGCATGATTTAATCATTGGCAATCGTGCCGAGAAGTGCGAAGGGCAGATAACATGGGAGTTAAGAAGGCTGCAGTCGACGATAGACTAAGCAATGATGTCACATAGTATGTATGATTAGCTGAGGGTGATAAAAATATGATGAATATGAATCCAGAAGCTTAGGTAGCGATCACAAATGTATCAAGCTGAGTTTTGAAAGAGAAATGAAAATATGAATGAGACATTACGGGCAACCACATATTAATATTTATTCAGAAAGGCAAATATAAATAGCAACTAAACAGATTTAGGAAATAATCACCGAGGATATTTAAACTTAATGGACGTACACAAAGATAACTCGATTGTTTGAGTTAGAGCTTGCTAAGGTACGAGTCAAATCAATCGGGAAAAGCAGACACAAACCCAAGAGCTGGTGGAATCAGGAAGTTAACAGAGTCATAGTAAGACGTCAGGAAGACTCCAGGGAACACAGGTATACTAAATAAAGGGGTGAACCAGAAGATGATGGCAAAAGAAACTGGGATAACTTTTTGAGCTGCAGAAGGGAAGCATCAGTGGCGACATTAGAAGAAAGGGGGCCCAATTAATGGCGCAAGTAAGCAAAAAGGATAAAAAGGCAGCTGCAAAATTTTGGAACCATCTCTATTCTCCGAGTAATAAGGCGAGCATGACACAGAAGTTAATATGTACAGTTCAAGGGGTTATAGCAGAAGAGGGTGAGGCAATGAAATATATAAGAACAATGATGACAAAACAAGGTTAAACACCAAGAAAGGGCTGCATGAGTCGTAACAAATGAGCATGGACCAATTAGCACAGTAGCTCCACTGGGACAGCCAGAGTGGGAAAGGGCAAAGAAAAGGGTTCCTAATAGCACATCAACAGGCCCTGATAGCATCCCAATTATGCTATTAAAGAATCGAGGACCTAACTTTAAGCAAAAAGAGAGGCCGCGAGCAAAGCAATAGTGGATATTGAAGCCCCAAACTGGTGGAAACTAAGCAGGATGAGCATGATTTATAGATGAAAGAGGGACAAAACTTATATAAACAATTATCGCCCTATACCAGTGACATCAGTAGTTTACGAGCTGGTGATGCAGATAGTAAATACTACAGATATGGGTGGAGAGTGGGCGGGGGGGGACTACAAAATTGGTTCCATAAACGAAGAATGTTGGAGGACAATCTATTTTCATTGATGCAGTGTACTGAAACAGCGGAAAAAGAACACGGGTTCCTGTGGCCGGCGTTTCTAGATATCAAGACAGCTTACGATAGTGCGACTCTAGAATACTCGCAGAGAATACTGGGCACACTAGTTGTGCAAGATGG